CATTAGCATAAAATCAGGATCCTGAATCTGCATTTTCCATCGGTTTCAAAAGACAGCCAGCTTTCAACATTTCCAAAATGCATCTACTCAGGGATAGTTCAGACATGCAAAATGCCAATGTATTGTAAATGCAATAGTCATTTACCTCCTGAATCCAGAATGTAATTTCCATTTTTATTTTAACCACTAGCGATCCATTGTTCCAAATTCCTTTCAATAAATGTCCCCCACTGCTGCCCATAGCTTCTGCAGAAACAATTTTGAATATTTTGCAGGCAAAAATAGCAGAAGTGCTGAAAATCATACCGTTCCTTTCCAGACTAGATGATTGATGAAATGCACATTTCAAAGCCTGTGAAAATACGAGCCAGAAATAAGTAGCAAATGAGATTATCCTCGTATTGATTTCTCTGCAGTACATTCTGATTAACTGGCATACCAAAGCGGTAGTTTCCAGCTGCCTCACAAAGATCACATCCTTCATCCTCAGTATGTGTGGCTTCTGATAAGTAAGTGGTTCCTTTAGTTATCAGATACCTGGGGGCTTTTCTGCTCTGCTATCCAAAATCCTTGGTCTTTTTCCAATATGTCTGAACTTTAAAAAAGGTAGATTCTAGTCTTCTGTTTGCTCTCTACAAAAGAATCCACCGCAAAATTTCATGCTGACATTTTTTACAGCCTGTTTCCAAACCATCACATCTTGCTGAAAACATTCTGGTGCACTTGATCCTTCCTGAGCTGTTAAAGCAACCCCTGGGACAATCTAGCTAGGCCTCTGGGAAATTTCCGGCCATTGGAAGATATTTTTTTTTCAGAAATCAAAATCAGCATGTTGATCTGAAAGGCTTTCTGCATTATAATCAATGGTTCAGGAGCTCTGCTGCTGGTGTTGTTATGAGATGTCTAGCCCGAACTTCTTCATGACAGTACCACAACACCTGAAGAGCTAGTAGTCTAACCTGCCCTAATCATAGCAAAAAAATGTTAATGATCAGTCTAGGTGTCATGACACAGGGTAATATTATGTCTTTAGCTTTATTCTGTGGGGAATATGCATTTAACTTTCAAGCACCAAACTACAGCCCGGGTGTTCAGCTGCCCGTGACCCAAGGTTTGCTTTCGCCGTGGACAGCTATTAAAAACTGGATGAGCTTTGCTTAAAGAGTTGTTGTCCAGCTGCAAAAAAGTGTAAATTAAAGCCATGTGAAATTAAGTATGCAGGGAGAAGTAAAATTGTAGATATAGCTAGCAAGTCAGGGATTCAAAAAGAAAAATACCATGGGAAAAAAAAAAAAATAAAAATGCAACACAAAGAAAATAGGCAGAGACTCAGCAGACAGCAATTCACTTAGGTGAGGGACCATGACATGGTCCAAAGAGCCAGCTCAGCAAAAATGTATGAGGCGTCTTGCCAGGGTGGTGAGCATCATCAGGTACTTAGCCGAGCAGCCCGTACTGTATGCATTAACCAACAAATAGTAGCCATGTTTTTAAAAGCTGCAACCTTTTGGCACAATACAGGATGCCCAAGCAGAAAAATATGACCCTCTGAGAAAAGGCTGCGGGTGTGAGTGCTAGTCCTGGCTCTCCTCCCCTTCTCCATCTGCCCCTGTTTCATTTCTTCTTGCCATGCAGTAAGACTTCAAGGTCTAAATACCATCCCCCAAAATGGGGATGCATAAAATGACTGCAGCACAAGGTAGTGCTGGTGCTCTTTCATCTCAGAAGGGGTTGCTGTGAAGCGATGAAGCATTTTTTTCCACTATTAAGTGGTATCTACAGGCTTTCTCTAGCCTTCTTTCAAGGAAGGAAGAACAAATTAGGACACTAAATAATTTCTGACAGTGCCTCTTTAACTAAGCATTTGGGAAGGACGAGGCTCTCACTAGAGGGCACATGAGGCTGGATTTTTATATATCCTATCCGAGACATAAATGGTAAGGTGAAAAACAGCAAGGCTGAAAAGAGTCACTGTGTACGACTGAATCCTCTTAGATTCAGGCACAGTGACAGGCACTTAGGGGAGCAAAGAGAAGGGAGGGAAGAAAAATACCACACAGTAGGCATGTTCTCACTAATTGATGGCAAAATTCTCAAAAAGCTTTCATCTGAAAGAAACAACATACAGTACAGTCATCAATGAGGGGCAGATTTAAGGACTGCTACTGAAATAAAAGAAGTCTGGGAGAAATTTCACATTAAGCCCCAGTAACAGTGATTCCATGGACATTTGGCAAGTAGCGTGGCACAACAGGAGTAAATCTGTACCAAATAGATTTACTGTCCCCTAGATCTGTACAGATGCAGTATTTGAAGTCTTGATGCCTCCATTACTCACATATTGCCCTAGCTCTGGGCTGGTCCCGTGGGCTGAAAGCCTGCTAGCAGCCAAGGAGCGCTGTGTGTGCTCCTGGAGCACGACTGCCCCTTGAGCTTCACCCTAAGGGCATCCCGCTCAGAGCTGAGGCCCACAGTGCGGTCTGAAGCATCATTAGAAACAAGATCAGCAGATCTGCTTCACAAATGCTAATCCCATTTAAAACAGTAGTGTAGACACACGCAGTCTGACCAGAAGTAGAAATGAATCCCAGAGGAGTTGTTTGCTTTGTGATGAGCTGGGGTGGGCTTTGGCCCAAGGCAGAGGACCAAGCCAAGGTGGAGACCCCAGGCCAAGGTGGAGAACCAGCTGGACCAAAGTTCAAGCACCAGTGCCTCTCCCTGGAAGACAGGGTTGAAGAAGCATATGTATACATAGCTTCAGATCCCATAAGTGGTCTTGTGCTAGCCAGGCTGAAAGTCAGAGCCAAACTACAACAGTAATCCACCGCCCTTGTGATTTTGGCGACACAGAGGCCTGCTGTATGATAGAAGAAGCTCGGTCCCCACCTGGCAGGGCTGACACGGTAGGACCCGAAGACAAACAAGGGGCACTGCCGCCCTTTGCGTGCTTTTATTCACATTTTCCCTCTGAGGTAACTGCAGAAGCTCCGGACGGCTACCAGATAAGCAAGCGTTGATTATTGTGGCTCACGCTACCCCTGGCAGCAACGGGGACTCCTAGCAAATATTTGGGGGAGTGTAGGCAAAGGGACGGCAGGGACTCCACAAACACCCTCTGGACTCCACAAACACCCTCCTCCTGCAGCACAGCACCCGGGGGGCAGCCCCCAGAGGGCCCAAAGCCCCCGGCCCGCGACCCCCGGCGAGGGTGGCGCTGAGCAGTCGACGCCTGCCATCTAGCGGCCCTCGGCCGCCCCGGGCCCCAGCAGAGACCCCCGGCCCCTGGGGGCTTCTGCTGAGCCCCCCGGCCCGGCTGGGGAAGGGGAGGCAAGAGGAGGGGCCTGGAGCAAGTGTTTAGCCCCGTTTTGTTTTGGTGCGGTTGGGTTTGACTTCCTAGCCCGGCTGGTGAATGGTCTCAGATCCGGCGATTTGTGCCGTGTGAGAAGGGCTGAAAATAGTTGCAGAAATAAACAAGTTAACTTATACCTTACTGATGTATAGAAACGCCAAAGGCTGGCCCAAACAGCCTTCGCTCGCAGACATGTGCAATGAGAACAGTGTGGGTGCTGCATATTGGGGGAAAATGAGGCATTTTGTGCGTTGAAAGAATCGTGCCGTGTACCCTAAAATATTTCTCAGGGAAAGAAGTGTCCTGGCCTGAGAATCGCTTTCAAAGTTTAGAGTTTTGTGCCACATCTGGCGTAGCGTGTCCTTTAGCTACCCTAGGAAACTGAAAGGGTATCAGTGCTCTGCTAAAAATAAATCAATAAAAATGAGGAAGGACAGCATGGAACACAAAGCCTGTAACACAGGAGAACTAGAAAGGGGGCAGGAGGCAGGGGGAACACCTGCACATGGTAGCAGGTTCAACTATTACCACAAATAGTTGGAAAAGAAAGAAAATCCCTCACGGGCTCAGGGTTGGGAAGGGCTGTCACGCACTGCTGGACGGTCAGTCTGCAGCTTTCCCTGAACAGGAACTTGTATGGAGTGGGGGGAAAGGTGGTCAAGCTCTACTAAGTGTCTCTCACTGCAGATTTTGCACCCAGCTTCAAGTGGCAGAAAAGCACAGACAGAAGAAAATAATAATAATAAAATAACGTAAGCAATGTAAGTGAAAATTCCCTCGCTTCTCCTTATGAGGAGGTTTCAATGGACGCTGCATAGCAGCAAGGAGGGAAAGCATCAGTAGCTAATCTGGTCTCAGGCAGCTCCAACTGTTTACAGAGAGGAATTTGCTTAGTGTCAGGGAAAGCTGTTGAGACTATCAGTGGAAGTCCAGTCTGAGGATGGGATAAGGTCAGTAATCTTAGCTAAATCCTATTAAACCAATAAAGGATTCAGACTGCTTCCTCAAACAGAGCCATTCAAAGGGTGGTTTTAAGATTAGAAAATTAAGGAAGATAAATCCAAATTAAATCCTTTTAATCTCCCTCCATTTATCAGCATTATTTTTTTTTGAGAGAGCGACAGGCTAAGGGTGTTGACAGAGCTGTAGACATGATACTAGCGGTGGCTTCTGTTTAAAATTACAGAAGGAATTCAAAGTCCCGCTGAAATCATTACAATAAAAAGAAGGGAGTTAATTCCTTGGCAGTGATCTGCTAAGGCAGTTTTACTCAAGAAGCCACAGTCGAGGGCAGCATAAGACAACCTGGGGTTGCTCCCCGGCCAAGGAGATGGGACGAGCTGCACTGTGTGCATGGGACCGAAGGAGCTGAGCAAAGCATCCAGGCCATAGGGATGTGGTGTGCTGGGCCAATGCTTAACAACAGGTTGGTTTGGGCCACAAATAGAGGATGGCTTGACAGCCCAGACAGCCGTTTGTAAATACTGCTGGTAAAAGTGTAGTCAGATAGCTTTTATGTTGGATTGTATATAAACAGCTCCCAAAAAATCATCCTTTGGCTCTCTCAGCCTTGTGTACACAGGTTTTTCTTCATACAGCGTTGATACTAGATTTGCATGCTGCTCAGTTAAATCTGTGTAAAGGGCTGAAAATAGAGAATTTGTAGGATGGAAGTTGGTGCATTCGCGTGTGTGCACACATTGACAGAATCACCGAATGCTGATCATTTTTTTTATTTGTTTTTACTTTGCTACCAAACAGTACTAAAAACCTGAAAATTGACATCCACAATTTGCTGGTAAGAGACCAACTAGCATTTGACTCCTTATGATTTTTGAGAGACAAATCCTAGCTTCCAGAAGCTGGTAGATTGTCTGATGCAGAGCTGTATGGACAGCAAATACTGCTCGTAACCTCACAGTCAGCCACCTGGGGGCTCAGAGCTGCCTTAGGTCCTCAGCAGACAGCAAAGAGCTCACCAGAGGATGTTGCCACGTAACTCTCACTGCAATGCTTGAGAACCCTTTTCCCCAGCCTGTTTTTGGGTCAGCCCACGAGAAGTTCAGTGCGAGCATGCAGCTACCCCGGTGCTAGAGTCTGTGGAGGCCAGCGGAGCACCTCTCTTCGGGAGAGGCTGGCAAAAGCAGAAGCCCCAGACAGGTGAGAAGAGGAAGAACCAGGCACAAAAACAGGATTTAAACAGCAGGTGTTGTCCTGTTGCATGTGTCTTGGAGGCATCCAGGCTATTTTAAAACTCAAGTCTAAAGGATGTTGAAGACCTCCAGGCCTCAAAGAAGAGAATTTCAAAGGGAGGAGGGAGCATCTTTCAAGATGAGGTTGCCTAGTAGCCAAAGGGTAAGAGAGGAAGAAAGAAACAAACAGAGGGAATTGGTTGAGCTTTACCTCCTTAACGTTATCCGCAGGCAGGTGACGGGCAGCACTGGGTCTGACAGATGACCTAGTGGCTTTGTTCTTCCTTGCTCCAGCAGGGTAGGTTCCTCACCAGTTCCCAAGGCAGCTGGCACTGCAGAAAACGTTATCTCTTAGCTACCAGGTGTGTCATTTGTAACACAATAGCTGCTTAGGAAGAACCAGAGTGAAAAGACCTGCATTTTTTTTCTTATAGAATATGAGTTACTTGACCAGAACTTGATCCTCTGTGGAAGTAAACGATAGCACACACAGGGATAATACATAGATTCAGAAAAATAAAGATGCATCTCCAATTAAAACCATGAATTTTAACATATTAGCCCCTCAGGCTCACTTGCTCATGCTCTCTTTCACATTACACATGAGCAGCAGAGGGGGGGGATGCTCCACACAGGAGAGAGAAGGCGAGATGCTCTGGGGATGTGACACACAAAACATTGCCTCTAACCAAAGCAACCAATTCGTATGTGAACGGTTCCTATCCAAGCACAGAAATAGCAGCTGATGTCATTAACAGAAGTAGGCAGGTGAATAGAAACAGAGCAACAGAAAAAAAAAATGGAAATGGGAACTGCAGTCCACAATTGCAGAAGAGAGTAATTCATAGGCAAAGAGCTATAGAAAGTAAAATTGACTGAGAAAGGGAATCATGGTCAGCTTGCCTGGGAATGCAAATACGTACCGCCTGCGTGGAGCATTTCCAGTAGCACGAATGTCGCTTGGTAAACCTGCACGCAACACACAAATGCTGCCTCTGCAAAGGAAGAAACCCAAGTCCTGTCTACAGCCATCCAAAAATGCAGTAAGAAGAAAAAGCTCCAAACTATTAACATACTGGAAGTGTTCAAAACAGGATACCTAAGCCAGAGAGATTAATCCAGCAACAGGATTCCCATGTGCTGAGTCACATACACCTGAAACACAACTGGTATCTCGGTGAGAACTGTTGCCATAGATATCTGCGGACACAAAAGGAGACAGGGCAATGCAGAAAGAGCTGTTCCCAGGCCACATTTCCCTCCCCATGCTTTGCAGGGCAGCATTTCTACTTTAAGGATGCTGGTTGACACCACAAAGCATTGGTAGATCAGATGCCTCTTAAAACCACCCTACCCTGGTTTGCTTTTTTGTGAGAGATTTTGGGGGTTTAAAGGCAAGGCAAAGCACCTTATGCTAACAGCGAGCAAGCAGAGCTCATACATGTGATCTGGGTGACTGGGTGTAGCCAAAACTGGACTACTCGTAGACTAGGCATTAGCAGGGATAGCGTGCCCATGCTCTGCAGCAAGCTGCCTGCTCGCAGGGCACGGGCTCTTCTTGTTTGCAGGTGGCAAGTCACACCCTTCTTGTCAACGGGCTGCAGCGTACTCACACCAGCAGGGCTGACACCACCCTTGGGTGGAGCTGACTTGGCCACAGGAGACCAAATCCTTCCTCTCCCTTGCAAGCTTGGTGGTGAGAGATGACTAACGCACCACGCTGTACTGCTGCAGAGCTGTGAGGTGTGAGGGTAACATCATCTGCCAGAAACAATCTCTGGTTACGCTAGCCAATATTATCTGATAATGCATCGAGCTGGTGATGATGTGATATATATATCAGCAGCTGAAACTTTAAGGTAGAAACTCAGCTGGTATTTTGCAACTGCATTTATTTCTCCCACCTACAAATCTGCTCTCCCAGTTAATGGTCCCACCTGGACGCCCTTTCTTTCTAACTGCTGCGGTGCCTCCACGTTCCAGGAATGCTTTTAAGGATCAGAACGTGGTTCTCCAGGGAGCGTGCATTTAAACTTTGCAAAACTCAGACTAAAGTCACAGCCTGAAATGACAGTTTATGATCTCTTTTTAGAGATAATTGAAGCTAATCATTCTGGAAAAGTCTGTGTTGACAGGAGAAGGAGAAATAAAAATAGCTCCCTTCAAAATAAAACAAACAAGAAAATACCCCGAGCCTTCGAAAACAAAATTTGATTTTTTCAAAATTAACACTAAAGCGTACAACTCTCTAGAGAATCAAGCTAAATAAATAACAGAACACCTTACGTAGTAGATCCCTATACTGAAAGGATAGTAATAGACCTCTGGGGAAACCAAGCACGCCACTTTCATGCCAAGGAAATTAGTCCTTCTACCATTAGCCTTTACGTTGGTTTTGATGTTATACCATGTGTTAATTATTTCCAAATCACAAGTGCAAACACTCACCCTGATTGGAAAATTAGCATATTTCAAACTCAAGTAATTTTCCCCTAATGAGGAACTTGTTGAACTGAATTTAACAATTAGCTCACACCCTTTGCTGGCTGGGTATGGCTATGAGGAGACATGGAAATACATCTTTTCCTGTAATTTGCTGTAAAGGAGGAATGTAAATTCAGAAGTTGTTTTTGTGCCATTTCCAACTCTTCCTCTAGCCCTTAGAGCCACGATTCTCAAAGGATGACGCAGGAGAAGGTGCTGCCCGTGCTGTACAGCTTCCCCTTGTTTTGTAGTCTTCCCCCCCCATGGGTCAGTTCATTTTCACGGCTTTTGCCACGTGCCAAGATTATGCAAGGAGTATTTCTCAGCTTAGAAGAGTAAAACTTGTGTTTTATTGGTCAATATACACTGTCCATAGGTAGGACAAGCTACTGGGCTCACTGCCCCTGGCAGAGCACCCAAGGCCACCCTCAGCCAAGCTGGGAAGGGCCAGCATCAGCTGCTGCTTGGAAAGGCTGCTCATCACCAAACTGACATCCTGGGGCTGCCTGAGGTTTTTCTGGAGGATTTTGTATGCTTTTCATGGTGCTTTTTCTCCACAGGAAGCCTTGGGCTGCTAATTACCCCTGTGTCAACACCCTCACCTTTGGCAGCAGTGATACCTTCCTTGCCTTGGCTGTACCCTGGAGAACTCCTTGCAGTGCTTCCTCACGGCTTGGCCTTCTTGGACATCGGAGCCCAGTGCAGCCTGTAAAAACTATGCCACAGACCCCAGGAGATATCTGTGATCTGATGCCTGAAGCTCTAGAGGGAAAACTGATGCTTTTCAGCTGCTCAGTTGCATTAAGCTAGACTGAAGTCCTTTTATCTTACTATTAATTTTCTCCATGCACCATGACCCTATCTGCATAACGTGTGCTGGGCAGTCGGGTCTTAGAGATGGTGGCCTCTTCGTAGTCACTAAGGGAGGTTGCCTTGGACAATTTTCTCTCTCTGTGGAACTGACCAAGAATGTCCAAAATATTGCCATGATTTTAAGCCTGATTTCTCCCATTATAAAAAAAAAAAAAAAAAAGTCTTAAATTCATCCAAGATTCTTCCTATTTTTCAGTGCATATTCTTTAGTATTTTTTTTTTCTCTAATTTGAAGAACAAGGATGAATTTTTCGAGAGTTCAAGCTGCCTTCTAAGGTACGTCTCTAAGCACCTGTGCCATCGAGTGCTGTGCTGGCACACCTGCTGCTTTATTATGTGGCTGTGAGTGGCATCAGTGTAAGCCTAACAGGTTTCGTTGAACAGAGAGAATAGGTTGCAATAATTGAGGGGGGAAAGAAAAGAATATTCTGAAAAAAAAAAAAAAAAAGGAAAGTTCTGAGCTATTTAAATCTGCTGCTTTGATTGTGCTCATGTAGAGACATTTTAACACAAACTGGGGTTTTGAGAAGTGAAGAATGCAGTGAGTTTGTGGAAGGAGAAGGTGTATCTACTACTGAGGCTACACTACAGCCCTTCAGCTGGATGCTAAGGTGTGACTTAGCAAGGAAAATAGCCTGAGACTGTTCTGCTTGCTTTCTCTTGCAGCTCAGCAACAGGAAGGCCTGTGCTTCCCACCAGTCCCACAAGCTGCGAAGAGGTGCTGTGACCTGCAGCTCTGACTCAGGTGAGGTTCCGAATGCTGAGAGCAACTCCTTGTGTTGTTGGGGTGGCCACATCTAAACATCATCTGACCATTATTTAACTCAGACACTCGTAGCTTGATCTGTGATCTTATGGGGGTTAATAGGCAGCTATTTTAAGACCAGGGAGGTAAGACTGGATACCTTCCAGAGCCTGATGCTAGCTGGTACAAAACTTCCTGCATCCCTTGCCTCTTTGGGCAAATTCATTAGGTTTTTCTGCCTTGATTCCTCTTGGCTGAAGCAAAGATGATCAAGCTCTCACATTCACCTCTTTCCCCACAGATCGTCTTAGAAATAGCACTCCATTTTACCTGGGAGCTGTGGAGGTGCAAGCAGATTAATCAGTTGTCCTGAAGGATCACCTGAAGAGAATGGCTGTCAGTAAAAGGATTAGCATTCAAACAGTAAGCGGCTGTCAGACTTTGTTTAAAAGACTAGGGAAGCCAAATGTCAGTGTATCCAATAGGTGCAGTTGTTAAAACAGACCTACATGTATTATTCTGGTGTTCTGTGTAGCAAATGGCTAGTATCTTCCTCTGTTATCCATAGTCTCCTAGGATTCCCTACTGCTTACTCTAAACCAACCTATCCCCCAACTTGTTCAATTTATAACACAGTGTGCATCTTTGTTGTATGGTCTAACTTCTTTTTCCCCTGCTCCATCTCTGGGAGCTCTGAGATCAGAATCCACCTCTTGCATTGACTCATTTTTTTCTTCCTTGGTCCCTCTTTACAAACTCTTCATAGAGGGCAGGCTTCATAGTCTGGCTGCCCTGGGAGCCTACACCCTGCCAGCCTCAGGAGCACGCCATTTCTTTCTCTTGATCAGGGAGGACAAGGCAGGGGCACGAGTGAGGGTCCAGGAACAGACAGGACAGTTTGCAGAGGGGTGGAGGGACAAAAATGTCTACAATCAACAGAGCAGGCTCTTAACACTTGAAACAACCCCCTTGGGTATTAAGTCATGTTGCCTTTGCTGCTAAGACCCTCAAAACACAAAGGCATGTCTTTAAATATATGTATAAAAAAATACAAGTAGCTTGAGTGGTCGATGAAAAAGAAGAGCACTGAGCAGCTCTTGTTGGCCAAGCAACTCATGCAAAATTAGTAGTTGCTGGCAGTAGTTGTGCCCCTTTGTGCATGTGCTGCTCCCATTGCATAACCATACGCCGTACCCAGGTAAGCTTCATGTCAGTGTTCACCTCCACACTTGTATTTTTAGTGCACAGCCACCCAAAATGTGCAACTCATCTTCTCCTCTGTGTCATCATGGATTGCCTATACTCTCAACCTTTGATCACCTATCTCTCTTCCTATTTAATAATGTCAGGGCCTTTTTATCATCGCAAAAGACACCAACAAAATTACCTTTACCCTTCCTGACAAGATAATCTCAAGCGAAGCTAGCATAAAGATAAGGTGCTCACCTTCACACTTATTGCATTACAGCAGCAGTATAAAATGAGTTGTGAAATTTATCTTCTACCTTTCGTTAAACTTTTTCACGTGCTTTAATCACAACTCAATTGAAAACCAGTTTTTTTCACTGACCTTAAAGAGGCCCTTATCAGAGCTGAGCATGGAGGAATTTCCTCCTTCCTACTTTGTTTTCTCCATACTCGGACTGCCTGAGGTCCATCCTGAAGGTTGGTGATTTGCAATATTGCGATTTCAAGAATCCCTGAATGAACGTACTGCAGTGCAGGCCACCTGCTGCCCCGGATGCCTCCCTTGCTAGGTAGGGGCACCTGCATTAAGGGGGTATTGGTCTGAGCCACAGCTGTACATAGCAAAAAGGAAAGCCGTTGCTGCTAAGTCTGTCTGCTTGATGATCACCACCCAACAGTACATTTTATTGCTGATGTCACATGAGTATCGCAATAAATATTAAGTACCTGTCCCAAAGCATACCAGCTAGTGACACTTGCAGCTAAATCAGGCCCACGCTGATGTTTACAAGATATATTTAGTAGACATTTCAGAGACGTGGCAGATCCCAGACCAAAAGCCATGGAAGAAAAGGCCTCTGTCTGGTGAACAAGCCCTCCAAGGAAGGGTGGGTGAAGACTCTTGCTGCAGCCTGCCAGCTGGACACACAAAGCCCACCATTTCCCCATGTGCTCCACCTGTTTTCAGATGCGTTGTCCACGCTTTGGCACATGGATCCACTCTTCCTCTAATGTGTGACAGATGCCACTCACCAAGACATCACCTTTACAGAACCACTACAGAAAACATTTTCCAGCAGTGCTCATTTGCTCCAGTAATTAAAGTCTTTTCCACAGCAATTCACAGAGATATCAACTCAACACATTTTATTTTCCAGTTTTAAAGCTTCTTCGACTCGCAGCCAACCATTCCCAATGCTGTTCTGAAATTAAGTCTGTAAGAGCAACATTACAAACATATCTGCAGCCTAGAGTACACTGATATAAGGCAACATTAGGAATATGCTAATAGCCAAAATGTTACATTGCATTAAGAAGATTTCTTATATTAAGAAGATATTAGTTGATCCCAGTTAATTCTACTGTCACACTCTAGAGCAGAGTGAAAATTATCACCTAAATTACTTTTCAAAGAAAAATGCAGATTCATTCACATTAATGAAGTTAAGAAATCTGTAATAGTTTCTCAGATTGTCTGCTTAGAAAAAAAGCTAGGTATCAAAATTGTTTCAACCACTTCAAACCAAAAATAACTCATTCTTTTTCTGGTACAATGGAATCCTATTTTTAAAGAAAATAATATTTTTTACCCCAATCAGTAAGAAACTATTTTGTTTAATTCAACCCCCTTTTCTCCTCCCAGCTTGTTGACTAGCTGAGGTTTTCAGAACATTTCATTTTCCACAGCCAACTCCCAAACTGAAAGTATTTCTGGAATTCCTTATAAAGTACAAATAAAGCCCCACTATCTCCCTAGCATCACTCTGATGGAATGTTGTATTTGATGCCTTATAGGTAAAGGATATTATTAACATCTTTTCTAGCATGGAGCATTTTCCCAGCCTATATAGGGAATTCCCATTCTTGCTATACAGATGAAGCATCTACTTCTAGGGGTCAGACTCGATGAGGAGAGACAAGTGCTAGCATGAGGTGCTGCACCTCCTTTCCCAATAACCAGCCTATCCAAATGCTTACTAAATATGGTATCATATTATAAATTACAGTGAGCTTAACCAAAGCAATTAGGTTTATCCAAGAACATCTGGATCATTTGGAAAAAATAAAACTAAAACCTGTTTTCAGCAGAACGGAATATTCAACAGTATTCATCCCCACAGACACACTGACCCTGAGTATCACACTGCCCATTTTCCACACAGAGAACCAAAGTGCCATGTAACGTCCCAGAGCAGTGGCAGAACACATCTCAGACTGACTCCTACTTTCTTTTTCTACACCAGTGACAGAGATCTCCCTTCTCTAGGAGGAACGTGAGCAAATGACATATTTAAAAACAGCAACTGTGTATTTATCAAGTAAGGAAGTGAACTGACAGGGAATGCAAAAAGTCTTCCCATAAATGGAAATTTCCATTTATGTAGGTGGAGAGCCTAGGGAGGTTTGGGGATTTAAGAACAAACTTGCAAATGTATTTACTGATCAGAATTAGCTATGGTGACCTTGTGACAGAGTGAGAGATGATAAATTTTAATGGAAGAAGGATAGGAAAATGCGTTTTGGGATGTATGACAGCAAACCAGGCTACCTGAAAGGTAGCAACCAGGCTATCAGAAGAATTCAAGAGACGATAGAAAAATGGCGCTGGGTTAACTCTAAATCACAGCAATTCTAATAGATAAAAATAAAATAAAAAATCACATTATGAGACAGTTTGGCTACCGTCAAGTGCTCAATCACAGGATAAGAGAACATGGTGTGAAAGCATGCACACCATGTGTGTATCACTGGGGAATAAATAGGGTTATCATTCCAGTCGTTGGTCCCTTCAGTGCAGCACACAGGCATTTATGTCAGAAGTTGTTCTGACATGGGCAGTGGCTATTTGTGGTGAAAGAAGCTCCTGAAGCTCAGCTTCCAGCTCCTGCAGAACAGGAGCTCTGGGGGCTTTTAAAAGCCTGGCAATCTGTCTTCACTAACTGCACCATTGAAGATAATCTTAGGAGTCTGCTTGCAGTCCCCATCTTCTTCACAGGCACACTCTGGAGGCTCTAGTTCATCATATTTTCTCCGATAAACCACCCTTGACAATAGGGTTATCAGAAACATTTCCATGATGAGGACCTGGTGGGTTATATCTGAAGGGAAAAAAAAAAAAAAAAAAGACCATCAGACAAGAAATAAATACCTATCTTATTCACCATCCTCTGTGCAAAAGGAACAAAAGTTACCATTCTGCATCCATAACAGATTGTCTCTGACACCAGGCAATAAAATCAGTTACAGAGTTACAGTGTTGCCCATCAATAAGCATGCAGCTAATTAGGCATCCAAAACACAAGAGATTTAAGAGTGATCGTGCATGTTCATTTCTTTTTCTTCAATTTCTGATCCCAACTAAAGTTCTGCTCTGCAACTATGATGGCTATAAAAGTTGTGTCGTTTTTTACATAAAAGTTGAGATTCTCCAAAAGCTACATAATCCCAGGAAATAAATATTTTGGGAAAACACCAGATATTGCAGTTAGTAAGGCTGAACTGACACCTTTATAAGTCAATGAAGAGCATCCCCCCCAACAGAACTTACACGCTCCTCTTGCTGAGGAGGAGAATGGTGGAGCACAGGGGATAATTTGTTGCATGGCCAAGATGTTGATAATAGCTGTTTGCAGGTGGTTCAGAATCAGGACAAACTGTGCCAGGAAGAGAAAGCAGATGCCTTAGCTACCAGGAAAAGGATTATTGTTCACACAACAATTTTGCTTTCATCACAGACCCTCTTTCACTCCATTCCTACTTTCTTGCCCTCCCTCTCCTCTATCTACCACCAGGCCACCTGCCATTCTGCAAAATTCATCTTTAGGCGAGGAAGATACTGCTCTGAATGTGGGCATTAAATTAAACCTCTGTTTTAAAAGTGTTTTCCCAACCCTTTATTTGGGAGGTGCAATATACAGAGAGCTCCCAGCTGGTACTTTAAGCAATACTGAGCTCTGAGTAGTAAGGAACAATGTCCTGAAAGCTTCCTGTTAATCTATGAGCTATGCTGTCCCTTAGAGGGAGGAAGAATTCAAAGAATGTTTTTTTTTTCTGGGGGTTGTCTCATCTTTTTGCTGCAACAGGGAGATGCAGTAGTCCCCAAAATATACAGGAGTGCTTTCTTTGCCAAAGGGGCTGGAGGATTCTGCAGCTTGGGTTCAGCAATAATCACACATCACATTGCCTGCTACTCACTGAGCTAGGCCCTCGCTGTCTCAGAGATACCAGAGCGTCTCTCTGGTGCAACTACTTGAGTATAAACCCTCACAAGCACAGAGTTTGCCACCTTAAACCCGGATTCACCTTGGTGCAGCTTTGCATATGCGACTATCCTGCTGATTGCTTTTATAAGGGTTTAATGATCTACTTATCAGAGCTCTTAGTGCAGCAGCTGTGCTCTGTGTCCTGTACCAGCAGGCTGCATTTCCAACCGTTCCACTCTACCTTCTCTCTCCTGTGTGACGTGGGAGAGGGTGGCCTTGTCCCTGTCCCACAACCTATCCAGGTCTGTTCCTTACTATGTAATGAGTCCCAGCCAGTATTTTCATTATTATCTAACTCTGTAGTGAAGAATAGCCAAGAAAAATATTGTCAAAACAGCACATTATGACATGCCAAAACAGTTCAAACAAAAGCCACCCACACAATGCTCCACATCCTCTCCTCGTTTTTAGAAGTACACACTAGCTTTTTAACATTGTGTTTCAGGATACAGCATCGAAAAAGCTTCCTTCAAGCCCTGCAGAAGGTGCTGTTTTGATTCCAGCTGCCCAGAGATGAATGGATTTCACAAAGCTCTCACATCTCCAGCACTCCTGAAAGACTAGAGGTGAATTGGCTCAAACTGAAACTGAACATCAGCCAAGGAAAGTGCTTCAAAGGGATGCAGCAATAATCAGGTAAAAATATGCCTTTGCATGATACACTTAATGGAAAAAAATACTATAAATCTTTAAGCAAAGGGTCAAGAAACAGGGAGATGGTGTTGCATTAACAGCAAGAGAAATTCTTACCAGAAATATTAAACTTCTCACCTGGTAAAGGGCAAATTTAGGGATGATCTTCTTACAGTTAAGGAGACCCCTGACTTGTTGAAACATGATTCCAACTGGCCACAGAGCAATAATGGTCAGGATAGCAACGAAGCAGCTAATCCATATCGCAGCTCCTTCAGGAGACAACTGAGAAGAAAATCAAACAAATGTACCAATAAAACTTTACAGGGCAGATGTTACTATTTCCAGGCAGAAGCTGCAAATGGGATGATGCAGGCAATAAAATGTGTGTTGCTACCTCCATGAAAGCTGATGCCAGCGGTAGTGGCTGGGGCTTGCAGGAGGAAGCTGCACAGCCCTGGCTGGAGTGCTGCCACCGTGGAGCTGTAATGGGTGCCAAAGCCCCTCCGTCCGACCCCAGCAGCACGTGGGAATGCTCAGCAGCTCACTAGAGTGTACTCAGCATGACAGCTCAGAGGGGTCGTTTATTTTACTACCATGAAACATCAACTGCAAAAATACTTCTGTTAATCTGAATTATCCAGGAGGTGCAACGTTATTAGCAGAAACAGACCTCTCCATCAGCCTGCTGCTTACACAGTACAAAGCAGAAGTGCAGTACATGCTTCAGGGTCTCAAAAGAACATGACAAGGACACACTTGGAAATGCTCCCAAACTCCAGACTTTCGTTGTAGGCTAAGATGCTAAAATCAAACCAAAAGCCATGGATTTTATGGCCCATCTCTGTTTGAAACCTTTACTTACATCAGAAAGGCTGTAATTGCCATTGGTCCAAAGCACTATTGACAGAAACATGAACACAGGTCGAAAGAAAGCAAACTGGAAGGTGCCCAGCTTCAGCCAAAAGAGGGTTTGCCTGGTAAAAAATAAAAAATAAAAATCACAAAGGCCAAAATCTTATTAGCAACATTAATAACATTTTTGGATGCTGTTAAGTGGCAAAACTTCTCCACTCCTACTGCACATGGCCAAAATCTGGGGAGAAACAGCTTCAAGATTAAAAAAGAAAAAAAAAAACTTTCCAAGAATTACCCAGTTGTCTATTTAGCAAAGTCTCTCCAAAAGCCATACTTTTCTAACCACAGCAGTGGTAGAAGCATACCCAGTTGCTGAACAATGCCACTTGCTCTTGCCTTCTTGCCTTGCTATTTCAGTTCTGCCAAAAGTTCTGTCAAAAAAGCTTGGGCAGAGCAGCCTTCAGCTGAAAGGCAAAGCACTGCAGAGCTTCGATCCCTGACACAGCCAGCCTGCCTTCAGCAGTGATGCTGTCAGATTCCACCTTCATGCTCAGACAGGACTGGTCTGCCAGTCCTGTGGCAGATCAAGACAAGGAATCATACAGACCTAGGTGAAAGGACGAGTAATTTTTCAGTGCATCATGAGTACTGCCATGTAAGCATCTGGGTTTGCTCCTCTGTACAGGAAGAGGAGAAAGGCCCTATCTTTCACTGGGCAAACTGGCAAAAAGCCTGTAGCACAGCTCAGGATTTCCCTACTACTGTCTCTCAGTATACAGCCCATACACAATGACCTGGCCAGTATTAAAGGTCACAAGAAAAGGGACAGATGCCCTCGCAAACTGAGGACACAAAAGCTGACTGACACAAACTCTCCCCCAGTCTTCACAGGACAAGCTGTGGCAGCTACTGCTGCTCATGTTTTAGCCCGCTGCTACGTGCTTCCCCCACTGCTACTGCTGTCTTCACTCTAGCTCCTCGGTCCCTTGGGACTGCCATCAGATGTGCCTCAGCAAACAGGCTGCCAGTTAGTGTGCTGCGGGGAACAGACACGAACCAGGAACTGCATGAATTGCTCAATTAATAGAGCTAATAACCACAGGATTATGAGCAGCACAAACACATGGGGAAGGGCCTGCCGCTGTCTGGCCATCTCATGCCTGTGCCTTTTCAAAGACCCGTTATTCCCAAAGGAAATGGGAATAACAGCTTGATGATCCTTGTGGGTCCCTTCCAACTCGGATATTCTCTGATCCTATGTTTTTTTTTAAAGTAACAAATCCCTCCCTTGGAGTAACTCTGTTTCCCTAGGAGGTATCTATGGGAGGAAAATATGATCTTTCTTTGGCATAACTTACCCATTTTACATCATTGTATCACATCTATTTTTGGAGGTATATTTTAAGGTTTTTGTACTACCTATTTTTCTTGGTGTCCCCTCCATGTAAATAAATACTGTTTGCCATTAAAATAAATTCATGGAAATAAGAGTTAAAATTATAATACCAAATGAGGTAGTTTAAGGAAAAATCATTACACTAAAAATGAAGATTTTTTCAAAAGCATACTGTAAGTTAAATTCTTCACATATTTTGCACTGCAGCTTATGCTGCTTCAGTAAACCTCCCGTTCAGTCCCTCTCCCTCAGCACTGTTTCCTGCTCGTTCCAGGATCCCTCACAAACCACGGCACTGCTTTCTGTTTGCCACTTCCTCGTAACCAGACCAAAAAGTCCCTAAGATCCCTTCTGATATGAACATCCAGGCTCTCACAGAAACGTCTCCGTGTTGCACATTCAGCCCTCAAGATTTTGCTGTTAATGGGAGAACCGTTCTCATGCTCTGTGCCAGTAGGAAAGCCCTGGAACATATGAGGCTTTTGGGCTGTGGAGCTGCATGTAAATGTCTGGGTCTGAGCTCCTGCCAGGAGAGGAGCCCCACCAGGCAGGGTTTATGTTACGCTCGGTGATTCCTGGAGGTGCAGCTCCCCATACTTACCACGCTTCTCAAAGGTGCCTTGCTACTTAGTTTGGCAGAAGAAAATATTTGGTTCTCCCTCACCAGAAAACAGCATTTCACTGAGATTAAAGCTTTCCAGGAATTACATCTATTTTTGTTTTAAAAAGTATTTTAATCTGAAGTAGTTTTAAAGACCAAATCAGAAAGAAACATTTCAATCCATCAAAGCAAGAGAAATTCTCTTTCAAGACAGACTCAATTTGACAATTTTGTTTGTGAAAAACACCCAGTCTGGAGACTTTTGTTCCCTCCTGGAATGAAAAGAAACCAAAATCCCAACTATCGGCTTTTCTAGAGTGGAAATTCCTCCTCCCACACACCACTGCCTACAGTACAAATGGTTTCTTGGAAAAGAACAGGATTAGCTGGGGAGACACCACAGTGCTCAGCACTGCTGCGGAGTGGGAACACTGCACTGGGTTAAAGAGAGCTTTGCTGTGCTCTCGCCTCTCCCGTGCAGCTCCGTGCTGTAAAAATGAAAGAAATTAGTGGCGGCGCACAGCCCCGAGTGACAGCACCGTTGGAGAGACAGCTTGAGAGTGGCTGTCGGGAAGCAGGGAGGCCCTTTGCTGCAAGCCTGGCTCGCCAGGCTGGCTGGATTCCAGCTGCGGTTTTCCAGCTGGGAAACCTTAAAGGGCAACTCACCTAGTGATGCGCACGCCGGGGAGGCAAAGGCAGCAGCAGCAGCAGGGCCCCGTGCTGATCTTGAAGCGACCATTTTCGAACCGCCTGAGGAACATCTTTTGGCCCCCGCACTCTTTAATCATCATCATCAGGAACTTGTGGATAACTATGGCAAAAAAACTAGGAGAGAAAGAAAACGCCAGCTTGAACGGACTTCCTGCTTGCCTCTCGCACACGCCTGCACGGGCCAGTCCTGTCCGGGTTTTTTAAACTTTCTGCCCAGGTTGTTTAAACCTTATGGTTTTCCCCAAGGCACACTGGTGGCAGTCAGTATCACAGGCTTTTTAGCCCAAGTCATTGCAGCCGTATTTTTCTATCAGTTATCTAGTCCTGACCAGTGCAACCTTTTCAAAACAAGTCCTATTCCTCCTCTTAAAAAAACCAATAACAATAAAACCCACAAAATTAAAAAACAACAACACAGGGCTAGGTTTGTGTATGCATTTAGTGGGGCACCACGTGCTGCCCCAGTCAGGGTGCGGTTCCTCTGCAGCCCAAGCGGATCCAGGCAGTGTCTGCTGCAGCCCCTCCTCTCCCTCCTTCACCAGCTGCACTTTCTCAGCCCTTCCCAGGAACTACGGATCGTGCAGACACCGTTTCCTCCCGGCCCCACGCAGATTTAGGGAATTGATTCACTGAAATCCAACCCCACCAAATAAGAGAGGTCCTCTCCAGCTGCACTGCCTCCTTGAAGGAGCTCGCTGAGCAGCTGGAGAAGTGAGCGCAATGGGGCAAGGGAAGGGACAGGGACCTGCAGCTTGGGCAAGGGAGGAGCGGGACTGAGATAGGCTCAACGTGCCATAGGACTGGATCCTGAGAAGTTTCTTGTAGCCTGAACTACCTGCATAAATTGCAGCATGCTACAAGTCCCACTGCTTTGCTTTCCATCCTCTGTTACTCCCCTCTCTCAGCAGATGCACTGTGACATGGGGTAGGGCAATTCATAAGACTGCGATAGTGTCCCACAGTGGCTTCCAAAACCATCCCGGCCCTCCTGGTGTGCCCATGGCCGCAGTGTGCCCCCACCTTGGCTGTGCCTCGAGGGCTGCCCCACCACCTCCAGAAAGCAGGGACCGCGCTTCTCCACTCTTCTCTGTGCATGTCAGAGCTGTCATACGTGCACGGAAAGTGCTTTTATCAGGACAAGTGCAGAACATTTTCACATTGATATAGTCATTGGAGGTTCACTTGCCACCATTAATAACAGACCTAGAGGGCTCGTCATTAATAAAAGCACCGAGAAGAAGCCACAGGTCAGAATCTCATTCCACATGACACTCGGGGAGAGAAAAGCAAAGAGTGCTACTTCAAAGCTCCCGTCAGTCAAGGCGATCAATTACATGCAAGTCACAGATCTCTCATACTGACGTTCCCACACTAGGGGGCTGCAGCACGGGGAACCGCTTCAGCGTTTTCCACCTCCCGTAAAAGAGCTGCCAAGAGATTTCAACTCAAACCAAAAATTACTAAATTGTTAAATTTACAAAATGACTGTGTTTACCAAGACTAGCAGATGTTTAAAGGGAAGAAATGCAGGGTTTGGGGCAACATCTAGAACAAGCAGAATACTCACACTGCTGCTGTGAAATCTGTAAACATTGTTGAGCGAGGAATCCACATGCCAATGCATGAGGTAGTAGCAATCACCTACGGAGAAAGGGAGGAGGGCTGTGTGAAAGGCAGAGATAAAGCTGCCTCATGCAGATTTCCAGAGAAATGTTAATTTCAACATTCAGGTTCATGCCTTTTCCATAATACTTACCGGAGCCGCAGCATTTACCCAAATTAAGAGTGATCTTTTGGAGGAGGGGATTTTCCTGTAGATGTAGATCACTTCCTCTATAAATACCAGATCAGCAATTAGCGTCATCAGAGTCAAGATTGCAAAGAGAAATCTACCAGCGAGGTCAAGGCCTGCAGCAAGCGAGAAGAAAACAAGCAAACAAAAAATCTGATTCATGTCATCTAAGCATTTATGAAAAAAAAAAAGAGCATCTTGGAGGGGAATCTTAGTCCTGCTCCTGCAAAGCGCAGCACGGACGGGAGGTGCAAGGAAGGCTGAGCCAGGCGCTTTTCTGTGGTGCCCAGTGCCAGGGCAGGAGGCAGCGGGCACCAAGTGGCGCACAGCAGGCAGCACTGCTGGGCTGGGCGGGTGAGGAGCCCTGGCACAGGCTGCCCAGAGAGCTGGGGGGGCTCCTCCTTGGGGATCTCCAAAAGCTTTCTGGACGTGGCCCTGGGCAGCCTGCGCTGGGTGTCCCTGCCTGGGCAGGGCTGGGAGTGGGGCACTTCCAGGGGTCCCTGGCAGCCCCAGCCCTGCTGCGGCTCTGCATGGTTCATCCTTCGCCACGCACAGGGACCCCTGACCCCACGGGACGGCTCAAGTACCTAAATTTAACTTCATAAATACACCTCCTCGGGACCCTCCGGCAGCACACAGGAGGAACACGCCTCCACGCTCCCCAAGCATCCCGCAAAAGCCCCGTTCAGTCAGGGAGCCCCCGGCTCCGTCCCCTCCCTCCGAGCCCTCTCCCCCCGCTGCCGGCCGGCAGCCCCGGCACTCACTGCCCAGCAGCTCCCAGGCGAAGGGCGGCTCGCTGGCGCCGCAGGGCGGGGGCAGGGTCGCGTTCCCCTCGCCCTCCATGGCGCCCGCGGGGGGCCGCGGCCGGGCACGGGGAGATGGCGGCGGGTGGGAGCCCGGCCCTGGCGAGCGGGGGCCGGGCAGTGCCTGCCGAGGGGCGGCTGATGATTAATGATTAGCCCGGGCCGCCGGGCGGCCTCCCGGCATGGCCCGGCCTCCCGCCGCCTCACGGGGCCTCCCCGCCGGGCACCCCCCTGCAGCGGGGCGGGCTGGGTGCTCCAGCTGCATGCACCGTGCTCAGCTGCTGCCGCTCAGGGTGGGGGGCTTGGGGACGCTGTGGGGAGTCCTCAGAAATGGCAGCGTGGTTGCAAGTGCAAGGGGAAGCTAGGGACTGCTGGACACGGGACCAAGCACACAAAATGGCTAAAGCACAGAATCACAGAATCATCCCGGTTGGAAGAGACCTCCAAGATCACCCAGCCCAACCTCACATGGAGGTCCAACCACGCACAGATGCCCCCCTTCGTCAGGGTAGTATTCATGAACAAAGTGCATGGGGGGTGGAATTGAGGAACTCGGGACATTTAGGAACTTTAGGACTTCAGGACATTGATAGGCGCCACAGACCCTTGTGGCAAACCCTGCCATCTTGGAGGATTCCCGGAGGTTTCACAGGAAGGGCACCGGGATGCAAGGAAAGGCCCTGCTCAGCGGCTAAATGCCAGCAGGCACTCGATCCAGACAAGGCAGAGCCCTTCCACTGCAGCAGGCTGGGGAGCCAGACAGACGAGGCTACCGACAGCCTCTTCTGTTGCTGTCAGTGGGGCTTGCCTTTAGGGCAGGACGATTTACTGCGAGTCCTCCCTACCATCGCTCTCATTTTCACTGCGCTGAAGCGTGCCTCATAGTTTCACCAGGCAGGCTGCAGTGGCGGCTGACTGCTGGAGTGTGGTGTCTGCTCAGCCTTCATGGGCTTGCCAGAGCATCCAACAGCACGAATATCTTCTGCCGTCCAGATGCCGAAAAGATGCAGGCAATATTTGTGAAGCACAGCTCCAGCACATTCTCTGTTCAGAAGCCCGTTTGCTCATCCTGCAGAGACAGTTGCTAGTGGAGGGGGAAATACCCATTAGTAACCCTTAATGCACCATACTTTTTCTCCCTAGTTTTCTCGATTTTATTTTTAATCCAAATGTTTGAGGCTAATCACAGTCTGAAATGTGACTGGGAGCTCAAGTTAGCCTTTGCTGAGGTGGCTGAAGGTCTTTGAAGGTTCTCCCTGAGCAGAGATAACAGGATTCCCATCTGCTGCTATTTTAGTTGCCAGCTTCTCTCATTCCCTGAAAGCTAAAAATAACAATTCTTCTCCTGGGAATCCTTTCTTTGAGTGAGGCAGGTTTGTCAATGCTTTTGTTAAGGAAACTCACACATGGCGTATGGGAGTGACAGGCCTCATGGCTACGTTATTGTATTTAGAAGAAACCCAGAGTCTGCTTTGACTTCACAGTTCCTTGAAGAATTCATATGGTAACAATTCTGGATTTGACTGTCATGTTTCAGTTATTCATCAACACCAGTTTGGAACAACTACTGCAGCGTACACTAAACGTGGCATTGGAGAATTTCCCCTCATGAACCTATAGAGATGTAACTGCTGTAAATATAAAGGTTAAGGATTAATCAACTGCTACTGTGAAAGATCCATCCTCCTCTCTTTTGCTGGTGTCTTCAACACAGGGTAGAGTCTAAAAACCACGTATCTTCCGTAATTTCTTCTTGTTAGAAACACCATTTGCTGTGTTTGGGTCAAACATCATCTCTTCTTCATGTTCTGGGCTCTTTCTTAGGAAAAAGACTTGCCTGACAGACCTTAAATTTAATAAATTGGACTGAAGAGCACACCATAATGCCTCAGCTCCCACAGCCAGAGGTCTGCTGCTCTGTGCACACTTCCTTAGCCCCTGTGCTTCATCAGTGCCCTCTCAGCACTGGCCTCTAAGGCAAATGCTGGGCCTTGAGACCAATGCAAAACCCTTCAAATCCCCTGGAGCTGAACTGCATTTCTCTCCCGGCTCCACTAGTCCACCTTTTAGTTTAACCCTTTAGTTTAATACATGGCATTTGCCACCAAAAAAAAAGACAATCTTACTTTCAGCAGTAGAGAGGTATTTATAGACCAGTCACCTGTCAATTTAGATGCATCAAGAGATAAAAACCACCTGTGAATGCAGCTCCCCATGCCTGTTTACTGGGGGCTTTCAAGTGCTCTATGGCTCAGCGCCCTTCCAAGCACCGCACTGCTCAGATTTCTTCCTTAAGGAACATGCCCCCTGGCTGCTGCCAGCCTGCTCTTCTTTCAAAGGTCGGCCCAGATGTTTATCTTTCCTCCCTTTTGATGATGGCTTTCACTTTCACCCGCCTCACAGGAATAACTGCATTCTCTCCGCTCCCCTGAGCTGAGCACACTGTTGTGATCGCTGCCCTCTCAGTGCGCGGTGCCTGATGCTAGCTGTGCTTCTCCCTGTCAGGTATTGGTGGGCCAAGCCTGTACGCAGGTGTCCTGGCTCATGAAATGACCAGCAGGAGGTCCCACATGCTCTCAAAGGACAAGCTCCAAGCTCCACTGCATAGGATATGTAGGATAGGATAGGGTATTTTGGTAGTAGGAAAATCTAGCAGACGTCACTGTCATCAGTGCAGTCAAAGACCTTTTCTGGGAGACAAATTATGTTCATCTGAGTTCAAGCTAATAAGAAAAGTGTGCATTAGAAAAATAAATCGATAATTTTTAGTGCCATAGGACTGTGCATCAGATTTCTCCCAAGTTTGGATGCCCAACCTGGCAAGATATGTCAGCTAAAATTTTCCAGCTTCCAAAAGCCTGGACAAGTCTAGTAATGAAATTAAACCCGTTTTCTCAGCTACAGCATGCTATGCAGTTGAGCTTAAATGTAACTTACCCTTTTCCACTATAAACCCATCAACTTTTCACCTCCTGCCAGTAATAAGTTGGCAATTTTAGAAGGGGTGGCTCATTAATGTGAGATAAGACCTCTGTCACCGTTACATAAATTAATAATGGGATTTGCTTGTTATTTGGCTCCTGGCAGCAACTGTAAAAATCAAGAAGTACAGCGACTACAATGAAATAAATCAGGATAACAAAACAAAACCGCAATTGTCATGCCTATTCAGATGGACAGATTTCCACATAAAAAAAAATATATGTATATATATATATATATATCAGGTGTGCCAGAAGCTTTACATCTGTGATTTTAATAGGAAAGCTTAGACAAAGACTTTTATTCTACATCAATACAGAAGCAGTGAAAGAGGAAAGAGAGGGGCTTTCATTAGAGGTGAAGCTAAACAAGAGTTTTATTTTGTCTCACTTGCAAAATAGCAAATTGGTTTCTGGCAGTCAATGTATGTGAGAGATACAAAGACACGCAATCAAACCCTTATTTTTGTAATATGTTGCTACACTTTTATCCAGATATAAGTAATTATTGCTGTGTCTTACCTTTTTTAGGTAACTTATGAGCCGTTGGATTTGGTGGTAGAACAAGAGAAAGGAAATTCACAGCACTTCACAGTAGAACAAAGAGCTGAAAGAACCTTATAAAATTAGGACCCTAAATTGGCGGTGAGGGCGGGTAGCCAACAATCAGCATCCTGAGGCAGAATGGAGGCAGGAAGTGCATTTTCTCTGCCGTTGCTGTGATAAAGTACATATATTTGATTGCAGAGCTTTTCAGCACTGGGAGAGGTTTTTCTCCAAAGGAGTGTTGATGAGCAGTAAGACAAGTACGTCTTAAGGACCAAGTAAGTGCCACTTTGTGAGCATCTCGTATGTGTCCAAGGGCAGTGATGGGTAAAGACAAGCCTCTCGGACCTTCAGCATCAAAGAGAATAGACAAGGATTAAGAAGTTCTTTCACTAGGGTAAGTTTCTGTAGATTTTCTCCTTCCCAGTCTTGATTTATGATTCCCAAATTCTAGATGAGAGCTGACAAGAATTTTGAGATTTACTTTTTTGTGTGTCAAAAGTGTCATATTGTCTGAACTGAAGCTTAGGAGGTGCGATTATTAAACGATTTCTTGATGGGAAACTATTTTTTAACCTTGGATTATGTGGAAATATTTTGACTGGACACTTCCTGCATGAACTGTTCTGTACCGGCTGTTCAAAAACAAATTTTGAAATCTCAAACATTTTGAAACCCCTTAAAATAAAAAAAAAAAAAAATGTAAAAGTGATGGAAATCAAAGTGCAATGTTTCAAAATGCACACCAATTAGTTTATTTATTTCCTGTTTATCAAAGTTTCTGCTTTTCTACTTGATTCGGGACAGCAGACCTCAACAAAAACTACGGATCTCTTTATGGAACAGGTTGTGTAGCATCAACACAGCTATGCTCAAGTTCATGATTTACAGCTGCTTCCTGGAGGGGAAAGTAGGGGTCTCTTCGGAAGGCAGCAATGTTATTCCGACTGGGAGACGTCATCAGGCACACTGCAGTTAATGACTAAGTCTGCTTTTACCGCAACAGTCAGGTGCTGGGCAAGATAGGTCATGCATTTCTTCCCACAGGTTGTAACATGACAGAAATGGTTTTTGCTCCTTCTGTATTGCTATTACTGGGAGGGGAAAAAAAAAAAAAAAAAAAAGCATACACACAACACCAAAATTGTAATATAATAATAAAGGAAACAAGACAGAGCAGCCTTGAATATTAGAGGTATGTTGACTTCTGTAACAAGCAGACCACACACCAGAAAACAAGGAGAAACAAATGCACATGTGTGAATGCAAAACGTCAGCCACTGTCAGGGACACTGCCTGTGCCAATAGCCTAAACACAAGCAAGAGCCTGGACAGCATACATACAAAATCAGTGCTACATCCCAAAGCTTCACTTTTTACCTTTATATAAGCACAGCCTGTGACATTCTGAAGCTCGGTTTGCAAGAAATGTTACAAGTAAATGTTAGGGAAATTATGTTGAGTGTTTACAGTGTCTGCTTATTCCTCCTCCAGAACGAAGAACCTTGTTGGTTTCCAAGTAGTGTTGGAGATGAGCTCATAAATCAGAATAATGCTGTTTTCAGTTTGATGTTTTTTGAAAGCTACCTCAACTTTACAACTGTCCCTACAAGCAAGGGAAGTCCGTGGTTTTAAAAGCATTGGAACCACATAGGCAACGTCTGAGTTTGCACTGAG